TTTGGAAGGTATATTCATTAAGAGAGGTGTAAAAACTGGGATGCGGCACTGATTTGAATTGCTCCTCAAGCAATTGATCACATTGCAGGTCAATAAGCTCGAGTTGGAGGTCAAATGGGGCTTTGTCAACATCAAATGAAAAAGGTGAAGAGACCAAAGACAGGTCATTTTCGATCAAATTGAAATCCTGGAATTGTCGAGAAAATTCGGCATGTAAGTCAAGTAGTGACGAAGTATACTTTTTAAGGCTTTGATCGCAAACAGTAATCTGCTGCAAAATTGGAAAGTGGGCAAATGTTTCCTATCTGACACGATAAAAGAAATAATTTCGTCATAAATGACTTGACACTGCAATATAAATCATGCACAAAGACCCGCTTCCGTTGCAGTTTTGAATTCAGTTCATTCATGTGGCCCATGATATCAACCGCAAATGCGAAATCAGAGAGCCAATTTGCATCATTCAGCTGTGGGAAATCTGAATCTTTTTGTTTCATGTCCAAAAATAAATCAATTCCCACTCAGTTCCCACACTCTTTTCAAGACCTTTCCTAAACTAAGCCATCTTACATTCGTGTAATACAGAACATCCGTGCACTCAAGCAGAGTTACAAATTGCCTGTGGTTTAATCCTCTTGCTCGAATGTAGTTGACCACTTTTGTAACTGTATCCACGACATTGCTTAGTTTTGGAAGACACTTACAGAGGACCTCTTGGTGGATAATGCAGTGTAGAAAAACAATATTTGTTCTGGATTTGTTTCTTTGACTTGATCTTGAATTCTTTTCAGTAACTCAACATTTTTGCCTGTCAGATTTGGGCTTCCATCGGTGGTCACATTCACCAATTTTTTCCACTCCACTCCTAACTTTAAGACACACTTATTTACTGTCTCCAAAATGTCTTCTCCAGTTGTCGTATCTTTCATTGACTGCATTGATGCCAATTCTTCTGTGAGCTCAAAATGTTTGGTTAACTCGAATAAAAATTATCAACTGGGCTGTGTCTTTGACATCACATCTCTCATCAAGTGCCAGTAAAAAACGTGCAAAATTGCTTACTTTATTTTGTAACTACACACCGTTTTTATTTTCTTTATTTTATTTTTTTAAATATTTTTATTTAATTTGTTTTATTTTCCACCCATACTGGTAAAAAAAAATTAGAAGTCCATTCTTTGTTGAATATTCAACCTTAAGTGTCCACTTTCCGCTTCTTTGATAAACTCATTTCAAATTAATGTTCTCTTCAGTGAAAAGTATTGTTGCAGTTGCCGTGCGCGGTTTGAAAATTTGCTGATCTGTACATTTCTGACATCAGCTTGACTCAACACTGTGAGCACAACTAATCAGTGTGATTGGCTGATGTTCCTGGTCAGATTCAAATGCGAAATTTGTGCAACTTTCTGGGGCTGAACAAACTATAATTTTTTCTATTGCTAGACACAATGACGGGGGAGTCATTTGGCAGACCGGATATGGCCCACAGGCCGTCTTTTGTCCACCCCAGGCGGTCTCAATTTAGCAGTATATTGTCATACCATAAAACTGTCCCCTGTTCAGCAGTTGAGAAACTCGCTCAGAGAAGGTAGCCGAGTGAGACCCACAGATCATCTGGCCCAGGCAGAGTACAAGTACTAAAATTTAAAAAATGGGATTTTGCAGATGATGAGTTGTAGAATTACAGCACTATCCAATACAGCAAAGAATGCTAATTACAAATACCTATCCTTTAAGTTTAGAGCTCCACTAAAGATTCTGTTATGCTTCATTTTCTACCAATTGTTTTTCAGAGGTTTCATTCAAAATCATATTACTATATAGTCAGAAAAGGCTGTGCAGAAAATACACTGCAAGCTTCTGTAAAACGAGACTCCTGGTTCAACTAGTCAGAATGAGAACTGATATTTTAAAGGGTACGAAAACGTAAATTGTATTGTAAAATAGATGTATAGAAAGTTAGATTACAGACGTTTCAATTACATTGCTTTGAGTTGTTTTCATGAATTTTATGAAAATTTCATGAAAATGTCCCCTCCGCCCAAACTCTAAACATAAATACTTTACCAAAATGTTGAATATATTTGAATATACACAAAGATAAAAAAATAAAAGATAAATAAATAAAAACAAAGATAAAAAAGGAGTGATAAAAATTCAAACTAATTATGTGTCAAAAGAGCAATACTCTGAATGTCAAATACCATAATTAGATTATAATTTTGCAATTCAGGTGTTACCATTTTATTCAATTATTCCTATTTAGAATAGAATTAAGGTATTTACTACATGCTACTAAAAGACCAAGGACAAATTATCAAATTATTTAGACTGATAGATTTTCAGTTTAGCTTTAACAAAATCATATTTGTAAGTCCCAGACCCAGTAAATGCAATAGCACCCTTGTCTGTGTTCAAGTTGTATTGACCCTTCACAACAATTAGTAGATTAATTCAAGTGCCCCCTCCCGCCAGAAGCATGAACTAATGTACTTAAAAATCGTTATTCAGCAGTTTAATTTTTCATGTGAAATTCACCTCACTGGCAACAGTTGATTCCTTCAGGAAAGGAAGAAAGAAAAAGCTTGAAAACGACTTTAGGGGCTTGAAGGAGGCAGTTAATACAATAAGAACTGTCTAACACACATTCCCCTTTCAAACACTCGTAAACAAACAAGTTAAATCACTGAAGGGTCATCATAGCAATACAAAATTTTAACCGTTTTTAAAAATTCCAGGTCAGATCAAACGAGTGAATGATATTTTAACTCATTTACACTTTACTTCCTCACCCTTCTCAAAATATTGTAGAACATGTTGCAATAGCTGAGAATTTAATCATCATCGGCTTCAGATTTTGGAGAGCCAGTTTGAAGCCTCTCTAGAATGTTAGATTACTTGCACGCTTATAATAATTAGATTGTATACCCAATTCAAATTGTGTCAATGCAAAAGGGAAATTCTCACAATAATTTCTGCAGCTCAAAAAGACTAGCAATACTAAAGTTTGGGCTCTGTACACATCATATCCAGTTATATTTGGCTCAGTCCTGAATTTTCACTACTATATTTTCATAGCAGAATCTCATTCGAGAGTGTAAGCATATTTACAGACTTATATTTAGTATTCCACCATTGGTACTCTTAACCTTCCATGGAATAAGCTCCTTACATCATTCAAATTATTTAACCTCAATTCTTCAGCTCAGATCAAGTCATAATGAAATCATACTTTTGTGTAAGACAAAGCTTGGTGAAAAAAGAAACAAAGCAACAGGTCAAAGCAAATAGCTTTACTGTAATTTGAAGTTGTAAACAGGAACAAATAGGAGAAAATGTCAAATATTAATAACATTTAAAGGCAATTATTAAAAATATTGAAATTAGGCAATGCCAGTTGACATTACTTCAAGCATGCAGGTTTAGCATTCATCTTCTCCAGATTGATGGGATGGTAGTCTACTGCCTAATATGAAATGTGGGCAGTCAACTCGGTTCCTATAGACACAGGTCTTTGGCATACAAATGTTCAAATTAAATATCAATAAGTTAGATACTAAAAAGGGATACAAAAAAAAGAAGCAGAATCCTAGTAGATGATGTTTTTCAATGTTGGAGTTAGAGACATTACTGAGGCACATGATTGGTGAGAGTTTGGAAATTCTCCATCCAGATCATCCTTTATCCTAATAAGGAATATACAGTACTGAAATAAGCAATTTAAATCTTCTCTGGAATGTGTGCTATTTTGATTTATATTAAACATTTAACTTACTTTGCACATCTCTAAATAATTCAAGTGATTAAGTGTTTTGTAATGCAGATTTAGAAAGAAAAGCACACACTACATTTTGAACCGAAAACTTATAACAATTTTCAAAAACAATATAAATTCTTAGCATTATTCCTTGCTACAAAACTACAACTTAAGTACAAATATAATCCTGGATCAAAACCAATAAGTGTTATTGTAAATTCCTCATGCAATATTCAAATTCTTTATGCTGCAAACATCCTTCAACATAGCTTGCTTTTATGTAACTTAGCTTCCCGATCAAATGAATGAATTCAAGCTACAGCACAATCAGGAATAGATTGTAAATGACTAAGTAGCCAGTAGTTTGTCATTAGTAGTGATGCACTTTAGTCACAGACAGCATATCATGGTACTCATATAAAAATCTAAAACGCAAACATTCACAAATACAGTAGCATTAAACCTAACCAGTTTTTTTTACAATGGTACTCTCGGACTTTAGAACAGCAGCCTCACCCTTCCCTGCAAAGTTTCTATTCCCAACAGCAGCATTTTCAATTAAATAATGATGCTGTAAATTAAAGGCCCAGTAGATCACCAACAACAACAACCACTTGCATTTATATAGTGCCTTTCACATCGGGAGGAGGTCCCAAGATACTGGGCAGTCAAGGGTTTAAAAGGTACAAGTTTAAAAACATTTAAAATATTTTTTAGAAACCCACAAAGAATGAATCAAGATGCACTTTAGCTAAATCCTGAAAATCACATTTGATGTACATCAATAATTGTGGTAGGTCTAATGGAAATTTAGCATCTTAGGTGAGAAATATAAGCTGTATCTAAACTCACATTTTATATAAAAAGAACCATTGCACCAATTACTGTACCAGATCAATTATACAGTAGCAAATTAAACAAATGTAATAATAAATAATAATCATTGCATTTGATATTGCACCTTATCACGTCTTCGAGAGGTCTCAAAACGCTTCACAGAATATACTGTAAAGTGAATTGTGGGTGAAGCGCGACAGCCAATTGCACACAGCAGTGTTCTACAAGCAGTCGTGGAATGAGTGACCAAATTATTAGGCTTTTTTTGGAGGGATTATTACTCTGCAAAGTGATCCACAATTGCCTAACTAACAACTGATCCTTACTGCTAGATAAACAGAGGCTTGTGCTCAAACCACTGAGCTACAGGACTCCCACTTACATCTCACAATGCAGTTGTACATACCTTGTTTCAATGAGATACACTGTATAAATCTCCTGCATGTTAACTGCATTTTTTCCAGTCCGTTTCTCTGCTTCCGACACACTAATCTCCATCTTCTTCAACAAACAGCTTTCCTTATCCATCATCTTTTAAAAAGAGAAACAAAAAAAATCACAATTCTCAAATTATAGCACTGGAAAGTTAAAAGTTTATGGCTACCATTCTTTTCCTTTTTAACTCTGGACCTTGATACCCCAATACCGGGGTGGGTGAGGGAGGTGCGATAGGATAGGAGGGGGGAGAATGGGTAGGATATGAAGGTGGATTGGGGGCATACAAACTGCTCCAGTAACTTTACTCTCAACCCTCAAATATCAGAAGAATATTAGAATATAAACGTTGAAATGAAACTAGAATTTCTATAAACTATAAAGGCAGCAAATTGTCAATTCTCAAAACCATAATCCATCTTAAAATTCAAAAGTTATAAACAGATATTTGACAAAGTGACCTCAAACACTAACTCAACAGAGTTCAGATGGAATTATACATAATTATACAGAGTACCACATCCTATTATCAAATGAGCATGGGCAGAAGTTAGATAAAGTATGATACAGATGGAAGGAAAGGGGACCTAAAAGAGCAAGAGTTCTTCTCCCCCCCCCCCCCCAAATAAGTGATCAACATTGTCTCCCTTTCAAGAATCAAATTTAAGGCTCCTGCCAATTGAACGCAGCTTTTCATCTCTCTTTCTCAGTGCGCCACCACCCCCATACCCCCATCCCACAGCTGATGTTAAGAGCAAACAAAGCACATTGCTTATATAGCTTACATTACATTGAATTGCATAGAATATACAGCAACAGGCCATTCGGCCCAACTGGTCTATGTCAGTCTTTATGCTCCATATGAGCCTCCTCCTGCCCTTCCTCAACTAGGTCTATCAGCATAACCTTCTATTCCTTTGTCCCTCATGTAATTATCTAGCTTCCCCTTAAATGCATTGATGCTATTCGCCTCAACTACTCCTTGTGGTAGCAAGTTCTATATTCCCACCACTTCTCCATGTCTATACCCTATCAAAACCTTTCATAATTTTAAAGGCATCCATTAGGTCAGCCCTACCCTTCACTTTTCAAGAGAAAAGAGTCCAAGCTTGTTCAGCCTTTCCTGAATATATTATTATTCATCAGTGAAACATGTAGTTAGTGGAAATAAAAAATGCCATAGTTTCTAAACAATTTGTTGTATATTTGAACACTATTTACAAATATAGGAGAGATAATAGAAAACAAATCCAGGAAATTATAGAGCATAATCTGAAGGGGAAAATCCTAAACAGGATTATATAGATTATGAAAACTAATAAAAACCAGCACACAATGATGAAATAAAATTTGAGTCTAATGATAGTCTAATGATTAAGACTAAGTGAAAAGGGCAAACTTTTTCAAAAGCAAGGACAAAAAAGAAGCACAGATTCTAATAACTTACATTAAATGTAATGCGTTATCACATCAATGTGTTATTTTGAAGTGTACATTTATGCAGGCGAAAGACTGAACTACCAATCTACAACTACAGATCAGTTTCAAAAGGTAGTCATCACAAATCACTGTTTAAAGGACACATTTCATACTGATTTCCTGCAACCACAGGTCCATATGACACATAAAATCACAGATTTTTTTTGTGGAGTCCTGTAGCTTAGTGGTTAGAGCACTCGCCTTGCAAGCGAGAGGACCTGGTTCGATTCCCGGCGGGGTGAAATGTTTGGAAAATTTCCTTATTCCACACGCCTCTGTTTACCTAGCATTAAGTAGGCCCCCGGTTGTTAGTTGATTGGCGGATTGCTTTTCCAGGGGTAATAAACCCTTCCAATATAAAAAANTTAGTCACTCAATCCACGACTGTTTGTGGGACACTGCTGTGCGCAATTGGCTGTCGCGTTTCACCTACAAAATAGACAATTCACTTTACAGTATATTCTGTGAAGCACTTTAAGACGCCTTGAAGACGTGATATAGCGCTATATCAAATGCAAGGATTATTATTAAAAAAACTGCAGATGCTGGAAATCTGAAATAAAAACAGAAGTCGCTGAGAACATGTAGCAGGTCAGGCAGCTTCTACGGAGAGAGGAAAGCGAGTTAAAGTTTCAGGTCAATGGTCAGAACCGATTATTATCATAAGCAAAAGGCATATAACATTAAATGATTTGTTTCATCTTTTACTTTCAGGTCAGTTGCATTGCCCATTCACCTTGGGTTGCTTTACAATTAAAATAATAATCCTTGCATTTGATATAATGTGTTATCACATCTTCAAGAAATCTTAAAGTGCTTTGGAGTATACTGTAATTGAATGGACTGCATATTCTGTGGGTGAAACGCAGCAGCCAATTGCACACAGCAGTGTTTCACAAACAGTCGTGGATTGAGTGACCAAATTATTTTTTAAATTTATTTTGAAAAGTGATCCGCCAATCGACTAACAACCGGGTTCCTACTTAGTGCTAACAGAGGCATGTGGAGTGAGGAAATTTGCCCACCATTTCCCCGCCGGGAGTCGCATACAGATCCTCTCGCTTGCGAGGCGAGTGCTCTAACCACTTAGCTACAGGACTCCAGTATAAAGTATAATAAATGTCTGACAGTAACTTTCACTCGATCTGCAGAACTCTGGTTCAGCTTTTAGCTTGATCGGTGAAATTATAAGCACTGTTCCATTGAATTACTGCCTTGCATCTTGGCTACTTTGCCATCAATTAGCTCTCGGGGCACAACAGACAAGCAGAGCTACATGCAATTACACCGTTGAATCCCTATTTATTGTATAGGACACTTTTCAAAGAAAATCCCACTTCTGCCTGAACATCCATCAGTCCATTTTTACTGTCATTCATTCGCTAGGGTTAGGTTTTCAATTCCTTCTAAATGGACAATATGCAGTTGTCCGAATGTCCATGATAATCACACACTGTAAAGAGGGCAATTTATTTTTATTATAAAGTATTTAAACCTTTGACAGAAAACAATGGAGATGGCACAACGACAACAAATACGGTTGCTCTGCGGCCTGGTTGCAGTTTTAAGCCGAGCGCAGGTTACGAGAACAGACAGACTCCCGTGATACGAGCGCTGCCCCCGGCCTCCCCGGCCCGGCCCCGCCCGCCCTCCCGGCCTCCCCGGCCCGGCCCCGCCCGGCCCCGCCCGCCCGGCCCGGCCTCCCCGGCCCGCCCGCCCGCCCTCCCCGGCCTCCCCGGCCCCGCCCGCCCGCCCGGCCTCCCCCCGGCCCCGCCCGCCCGCCCGGCCTCCCCCCCGGCCCGGCCGCCCCCCCGGCCCCGCCCGCCCGGCCTCCCCCCGGCCCGGCCGCCCGCCCGGCCTCCCCCCCCCCGGCCCCCCGGCCGCCCGCCCGGCCTCCCCCCGGCCCCGCCCGCCCGGCCTCCCCCCCGGCCCCGCCCGCCCGGCCTCCCCCCCGGCCCGGCCGCCCGCCCGGCCTCCCCCCGGCCCGGCCGCCCGCCCGGCCTCCCCCCCGGCCCCGCCCGCCCGGCCTCCCCCCGGCCCGCCCGCCCGGCCTCCCCCCCGGCCCGGCCTCCCCCCGGCCCGGCCTCCCCCCCGGCCCGGCCTCCCCCCCGGCCCGGCCTCCCCCCGGCCCGGCCTCCCCCCGGCCGGCCGGCCGGCCGGGCCTCCCCGGCCCCGCCCGCCCGCCCGGCCTCCCCGGCGCCGCCTCCCCACGGCCCGGCCTCCCCGCGGGGGGAAGCGAGTGAGAGGCCTGAGCCACGCCTCGGGATCACCGTGGAGCTGCCCCGCCCACATTACCGTGCTGCTGCTGCTGCTGCTGCTAATGTCTCCGGCTTCTGGTCCGGGGGCGGCCTGGGGCCCGGGGTCACGCCCCACCGACATTGCGGCCGCGGCGGCACCGTCCCCCCGCGCTCCCTCCTGATCCGCCATCACCAGCCGCTCAGAGCCACCGCCGCGCAACCGCAGAGACGGCTCCGCGTTTAAAGGCACAGGTCACCCTCCCGCCCAACACAGCCGCCACTTAAAGGGGCGTTCAACTCCCGACCTGAAACAACGCCAATTAAAGGAACAGGCGACCCGCACTCTGTATTCAACAACCCTATGCGTCTCTAACACAGACAGGGGTGGTAATTAGAGCCAAATGGACCGCCTCTCCTCCCACCTCAACCTCTAAGGTTCTGTCCTTGTGGTTCAGGTCCTGCCTTTCACACCGCCTCCACTTTGTCGCAGCAAAACTGCTTCTCCTCCAGGCCCCGCACTGTCTCGTGCAGTGTTCCTCAGGGCTGTGTCCTCGGTCCCCTCCTCTTCACCCTCTCCATGCTCCCCCGTGGTGACATCATCTGCAGACATGGGTAAATTTCCACATGTATGCGGATGACACCCAACTCTATCTCTCTAACTCCACCCTCAACTCCAGGACTAGTGGCGTCCTGACCGACTGCCTGTCCGACATCAAGTCCTGGATGAGGGACAACTGTCTCCAACTGAACATCAGCAAGACCAAGGCCTTCCTGATTGGCTCGCTCCAGTGCCTCCGCACCTCGGATGCTGGCAGCATCAGCATCGACCTCACTAAGCCAGTCAGGAACTTGGGTGTCTTGTTTGACCCTGAACTGTCCTTTCTTCCCCCACATCCGCGCCATGACCAGCACTGCCTACCACCACCTCTGCAACATTGCCAGACTCTGCCACTGCCTCACCCCTCAGGCTACCGAAACCCTCACCCACACATTCGTCACATCAAGGCTCGATTATGGAAACTCCTCATCGACCTTCCCAACTCTTTCCATTCACAAGCTGCAGATCATCCAAAACTCTGCAGCTTGTGTACTCTCACGCACTAGGCTCCGTGACCCCATCACTCCCACCCTCGCCCGACTCCACTGACTCCCCATCCTTCAGAGGATTGAATTCAAGATCCTCGTTCTCACTTTCAAGGCCATCCATGGCCTTGCCCCCTTCTACCTCTCTGACCTGCTGACACCTGCCCGCTCCCTCCATTCAGCGGGCTAGGGCCTACTCCATATCTCCCACTCGACCCGCCCTACCATCGGTGGCCGGGCTTTCAGCCTCTCTGCCCCCACACTCTGCAACTCCATTCCTCCCTTGCCTCCTTCAAGGCCAGTCTCAAGACTCTCCTCTTTGATCGTGTCTTCGGTCACCCTCCCACTTCTCTGCCTTCCCTCATCCTTACCCCACCCCTCCTCCATGCTCAGATCCTGACCCCTGACTGTCCTGCGCCATGGGGCCTCCTCCCGACGTGAAAGGCGCTCTATAAATGTAATTTTGTTGTTGTTGTTGGGGTATTTTTAAAAATAATAATTGGACAAGCATACGCTGAGGAAGGATATTAGAATGTAAAGAAGAAAGAGCAGGAACATTTGCACTCAGCAATATTCCACAAACAATTATGAAGTAAATGGACCCATTCATTCAATGAACTGGAGGATTGTTGGCCAGCAGCATGGTATGGTTTACCACTACCAACAAGAACAAATTGCCTTTGGCATCGGGAGGAAGTCCCAAGGCGCTAGACCCGATCTGAGAGTTGGAATCAGGGGTGGAAGGCAAGGGGGTGGGGGTGGAGATGGAAGCGGAACGTCTTGACTTTGGCCTTGAAGGAGGCAAAGGGACTCCCTGGAGTACCAGGGGTGGGGACAGAGAGACTGAAGGCCTGCTGTTGATGGTGTGTCAGAGTCAATTGAGGACATTTAAGAGGGAATTAGACAAACGTATGCAGAAGGATATTAGAGGGTAAAGGGGAAAGAGCAGGGGAATACGATAATTAGTTTCTTGGAGGAGCAAACATTGACATGAAAAAAATTACCAAATGGTCTCTTACTGTGTCTGATATTTTTATGATCATATGGATGAACTTTCAATTATCCTAATGAATATACTAATAAAGAGCACCAAGTGTGGAGAAGAGAAAATTTTGGATGTTGATCAAAAGCGCAAAGAGATATGCTTTTAAGACAGTGATAAAGACAGGGAGAGAGGAAGAGAAGCAAAAGCATGTTGGAAGGGAGTTACGGAGACTAGTGCTATAGTGGCTGAAGGCTTGTCCATCAATAGTGGGGCAGAGTGAGTGAGGAACTTGCAGTAAACCAGAATTTGAAGAGTAGAGGATATAGACAGCAGAATAGGACTGGAGAATGTTGAAGAAATAGATAGGAGCAAGACCATGAAAGTCAGGACAGGAGATAATGGTGGCTAGTCAAAGTCTGGCAAGAAGTGAACAAATAGTACAGGAGAGAATATGAGCTGCAGAGTTTTAAATGAGTTGAAGTTTATGGAAATTATTAGCTGTTTTTAATACATTTTGTTTTGTTTAGAAAATCTGAAACACTTCACTTGATATACCGCTTACCTTTCCATTTTGCTTCATCAAGACAGGCTATAAATATCAATGCCATACATCAACTAAACAAGTATTTAAAAAGCTCAACTCAACGTATGAAAAGTAAAATAAATTTTGGAGATTGTTTACTTATTTTAAATTATGTGTTCTAAAAAACATTTAATCAAAATTTGATTTTCATATGTTAAAACCATAACCCGTGTTACAATTACTTATGAAATGTTGGTGTAAATGTAATATTTTACTGTTGGATGTTTAATAAAATTGTGATGAAATGTTACTGAAAATATGATAAAAAAGTTTTCATAAAAANTTTCCGAAAGTGCTATTACAATACAGTACAATACAGTGCAAATTACACTGGACAATCAGGGGTTTGGACCTGAGTTGGGGGGAGGGGAGGTGGTGTGTGTTCGGATCAGGGAGGGTGGAGGGCAGGGAAGGTAGGAGGGTGGCCGAAGACACGGTTGAAGAGGAGAGTTTTGAGACGTACCTTGAAGGAGACAAGGGAGGGAACAAGGCGAAGGGAATGTGGGAAGGAGTTCCAAAGGGCGGGAGCAGTGAAAGCTGAAGGTCGACCGTCGATAATGGGGCGGGCCGGGCAGGGGGGCATGGAGCAGGCCAGAGTCTGCTGAGCAGAGGGAGTGGACAGGTTGATATGGGCCCCTCTTTTTATGAAACCAAATTCACTTTACTGCCACCTGAGCTCTGATTTACAATCAAATGTTTCAATTACTACTAATGATATAAGAAACCAGCACTATCTAGGTGCAGTGTAATGTAAACAGACATCAATCTACTCTTTAGCTATGCAATGCTATAAGTACAAAGACCGAACAGATACCGTCATTGACTAAATACTTTATTTTCCATTCGTTAGGGTGGAAGTAAAGAAGCACTGGATGCTTAAAATAAGCATAATTCCATACCTAACGAAACAGTCTCCCACACCATGGATTTCTTATCTCAGCTATTGCACAGAAAGGTACAACAACAACAACAACACCTTGCACTTACATAGCGCCTTCAACACAGAGTAGCATCTCAGAGCGCTTTTAGTAGCCAAAAGATGTCTGACATTTCCCTACCCACCCATGATCATTTGATCCATTACCTTCCCTACCTATGATGGTGTCTTATCAGGAAAACACTTAGAAAATTGCTATTAGGTAATATATGATTTCATTTTGTAAAACAAAATTATACTTGTGTTTCTAATTCGTTGGGGAAGTTTCTAGTATTGTGACAATTACTTAAATTATTATACTCTGTGGCTTGTGACTAATTTTAAGTTCTCCATATCTTATACAAGGTATTTTTTCAAAAAACGTCAAGCCTATGGAGAGGTGCCAAGCTGAATAAGTCTGTCAGAAACTCTGACTTGCAATCAATGAAAACAAACTGCAAAAATCACTAAATGGTTGTTTTTAAATATATAACTAGCTTGCTGAGGACTTTATGACTTGTAGGTTTTATGAGTGTTCTCACTTGTGGATCATCAATAACCACAGTTATGTGGTCTATATTTACTACTTTTATATAAAAAACACATAATCAGGAAAAACAAAAATAGTTCAGTGTATGCTATTGTAATCTTCATCATAATTTTTAGATCAACATACAATAAACAATGGACAAAGGGGCATGAATTCATGTGGTATATATTTAACCATTAAAACGTCTCATGCTTTCATCCAGAATTCCATAGGGACAAAGTATAAGGAATATTTAAACAACCATCACCATTTATGTTTCAGCAAAATCATATAGCAGAATTGCCTTTAGATGTAAATATTTTCTTACAAAGCTGCAATCTCCAAACTCCACTTGTTGTAGTCTAACGTCTGCTTGTCTACTGTAAATTATCTTTCATTTTCACCAGGATATTATTTGCGAGCATATTTGCTTCATTTCATTTCAAACGCTTTATTTTATGCCATTTTGATATTTAATTTTCCCCAAAAAAATAATTAAAATTCTGTACTGAGATTCTGTTTGTCAGATGCACTTTACAGTAGTTTCTACAGTGATTTATTTAAAAGAAATGTCTCAATATAATTTTCTTTCATCTTATGATTCACAACTCTCAGAAACTGTCAAATTCTGCACCAACTGTTTGATTTCATTCAATTTCATCGCTGTTGCACGTTTCTTTGAAAATGCGATTTCCTGTAGCGTTAGTTGGCTGCGTTTGGAATGTCAATAAAATACATTTCAGAAGTTAGGAAACTAATTCATGCCCAAAGTCGACTTCAAATAGAACAGTTCAGATTATTTTGGACACTGCTTTAGAATAAATGTAAGCGAATAATTTTATAAAATTAAGTGTTTCTTATTTAGAGAGTTGTTCGGATGTGCTATATATAACGTGCACTTTTGCTGTTATTTGAATGGTTTCCCTTTTGAAAGTTTAATAGCGGCAACAAAATAAATGTATTTAGAGAATATTAATGAACACAGTCCTACAGTTACGACATCCATAAAACGATTGTTATGTTCTTTATAAACATAAAACATTAAAATAATAGTCTTTATGGATGCTTTATAGAAACCCATGGTGGGGGAGGCTGTTTGGTTGGGTGTAGTGTAATGCTTGTTTTAAACAATAAGGTCTTTTATGAATGGAAAACAACAATGACAGCTGTGTGTA